AAATTCAGGAATATAAGTTACACAAAAAGGGTAAGAATTTCAGGAATTTTAACTCCTGCTTCAGTGCAAAATGAAGCTATGTGTACTCTGTGGAGAATGAGATCCCTCTAATCCAACACTGGCATGTTATTGCTCTGGTTGCATGACTCATCATAATACTTCCTAAAAGGAAATGCAGTTGACACTTAAAACATTGGGGTTTCCTTTCTAGACTGTGCACAGATATCGAGCGAGTCAGCAGCTGACATGATAGAATATGTTCTCTCTTCCCTAGAGTGCAATCCATTCATTTTTTTAAATATGGAATTTTTTTTTCACAATTAAGAAAAAACAATGGCACTTGAGTTTCCCCATAGACAATTGCTCAAATTCTTTGATTTCCAGACCCACTGCTAAACAATAATGGGGGGGCAGGATGATGGCATATTCAATAGAAAACACTTCTGGCATTTGTTATAAAATGTGTTTTAAAATGAATGCTTCAGAAATAGTTGTTATAGTCCAGAAAGTAGTGTCCATTTTGGTAAGGAATATTGATGTCCTGTATTGATTTCTTTTCTCAGGTACACAAGAAGTGGCTCAGATTCCTCCCATTCTGAGATGGTGGCTGCTCAGCAGCATTCATCCTTCTTTCTTAGGGTCCTCAGAGCTGCTCTACCACTTCAGCTTCTTCTGCTGCTCTTAATTGGTCTTGCCTGCCTTGTACCAATGACTGAGGAGGACTACAGCTGTACCCTATCAAATAATTTTGCCCGGTCCTTCCACCCCATGTTAAGATATACTAATGGGCCTCCTCCTTTATGAACCAATGGAAATGCTAGTAAAGTTGGAGAAATATGTCAGGAAATGGGCTGTTTCAAATGTTAATGCACTCAATGTGGCAGCTTTATCTAGCTACTGTAGCCAATGTTCCCATATCATTCTACTGGCACCGGGTTAATAATGTATCAGTACCAAAATGTGTAATGCATTACATGAGTAATGTCCTTTCAGAACTCACATCCCTGGCACTAAGAAAGTTATGAAATAAGTGAGGGAATTTTCTTTGTCCAACATTCTGGATTTTTTGGCCACTTTATGTCTGGGTCATTGCCCTGTACTATGCATAGTCAGAGGACTTCATACTGTCGAGAGAACCTTTTCCTGTGTCTGGTTCTGAATGAAGTATTAGCCAATCTTTGTTAAATACACTATCAGTATATTACAGTATTCAAATCAACCAGCGCTAAGGACATTTAAGAAACTTTGTAACATATACTTTTAAAGAGCTTGTATGGCAATGTACTATTTTTCTTGGTTTTTGTTTTGGGCATGGTGTTCTAACCTTTTCTTTGAATGCACAGACTGTAAATCTGAAAGGCACTTTTTTAAGGTTTAAAAAATGGATGTAATACATAAGATCACGGAAGGTTTTATGAGAAAAATATTGAATATCAAGTATAAAAAAGAAACTATTTATGTATGTACAGTTTGCTAAGCCAAGTTTTGTTTGTAATGATTTCTTTGCATTTATTATAGATACCATACAATATTTTGTCTACGTGCTTTTTAAGGACAATTATAGAAACCTTTAAGTTTAGAATGAGAAATGTATGGTAAAAACAATTATCAGACCATGTATATGCTGCAATTCTCAATGAAAAAAAGTAAAATAAAAAAGAAATACTGTAAGAATAAATTATAGCAGGTATCTGTGAGAATGGGATGATCTTGCAAAATGATTGCAGAATACTAGTATAAGATATGGGAAAATATACTGTGATAGAACCAGTGATGAATTTAAAAAGCTAGTCTTATTATGAATTGACATATGGAAACACCAGTTTTTAATCTGATTATTGCATTTCATGTTTTCTAAACAGATAGGTTTACATGTATATATGCTGCCTTCCATACTCCAAGTATAATCATTACCAGTCAACACTGACAAAGACTGTTTTTAACTTTTCAATCTTCTCCATAGCAGCTTGATATAGGCTGATGTTAAAACTGATATTTATGCTTGACCAATAGCTGAAGTATTGTCATGGAATATACCCAACACACAAGCATAAATAGCAGAAAAACAGAACAAAATGAAAACTCATAAATTTCCTAGAAACATTACAGCAAACTCTTTCTCTCTGAGCAGTGGCAAGCACTTCACATAGCTTATGAGTCATAACTTAACCAAAACAAAATTCTTTTCAAGTTTGAGAAATTGCAGAGTATTGCCCTAAAGTGATCTCTTGTTTTAATAAGTTTTTCTGTTTTTAAAACTAAACATTACACATACTGTATATTTTCCCATTAATTTTATGAGCAAATGTTTTCATTTAAAGAGAGAATGGGCTGGAGTGTGTAAGGAAAAGGGATAAGAGCCCTGGTTTTGCTGAGCCTAGAGAAAATACAACTACTTGCATTGTTCATACTTCTTGGGATTGCCTTGTTGGGGATCATTGGTTTCCAGTGAGATTGATTAGAACCAAGCTGTAGAGGCCAGTCATGTGATCTTCAGACTTTTATTAAAATGATCACTGGTATGCATCTGAGTTAACATGTGGGGCACTTCTTGCCTCTCAGAGCAATCTTTCCAGATTCTTGGGTAGATGTCGCTGACTTGGATACAGTGGGTTCCTGTTTTCTTGAAGGTTTCTTTACAGCCATTCAGAGTAGAGACTTTTAAAAAAGGGTTTGTAGAACACAAGATTGCAACTCGGTATTGGGGAGAGACATCACACTGTCTCTACTGCTACTCAGTAAAGCTCTGGAGACTTCAAGGAATCCAGTAAATGTTACCTAAAAGTAAGCACAGAGCCTGAGAGCAATAAACAACATTAGCATTTTATCTTCAAGGAGCTCACCATAGAGGGTGCTGCTAGGCAGAATATGCTGACAGCCTCACCTGTGACTTCCTAAGAAGCATTCTAAGTACATTCTAATGTATATGAATTCAATATTAGAGGGAGAAAAAAGTACACAGGAGGCAACAAGTAAGAAATTATCCCATAAATTAGCCTGTCAGATGTAAATAGATGAGCACCTTCTACAACAAGTGGCATGAATATTTAGAATCACTCCTATCATTTCCACTATCATTTCTACTTTGCCACTTCTGAAACCTGGTACTCTACCTTCTCCTCACTGTCAAATCTGCCTCCTGCATCTCCAACCATTAGCAAAAATTCACCGTTCAAAACTGAACTTATCCTATCATTCTTTCCCATCCAGCTGCAGCTTTACTATTCTCCCTGTGTCCAAGGTTTACAATCGTCTCATCTTTGGCACCCCTCCTCATTCAGTTTTCTTACTGCTTACTCTACAGTATCTCTAAATACTGGAGCTGCTTGAGCAAGGCTCCTGTGTGGAGCCTCTGTCCATCGAATCCTCTACTGGAGCTGAGCCTTCCACTACAGTAAGGGACGGTGGTGTTTTGAGCCAGAAGGGACAGTGAAGCCTTTCACTAGTGCACTCCCCATTCCTCTACCCCACAGGAGGGGGAGAAGTGTCAGAATCTTCAGACACTTCTTGCCTTTCAGTGAATGTTCATTATTTTAGGGTATCTCTTGTTTGGTTTCTGTTGCTTTTAATGCCCAGCCACTGGGCTTTGGTGGGGGAGTAGACTATGGAGAAAATCAACAATGTGGAGAGAAGAAGGGGGAAATGGAGACTGGTGAATCCTGATTATGATAGGGACGGAGGGGAAACTCTCAGGAAGGGAACAAAGAAAAAGGAATAAAACAAGTGTCACCAACCTCATTTTGACCCCTTGATACTGCACTTCATTGTTTGTTGAGTTTAGGGCTAAGTCTACTTTAGGTATCTAAATTCAACAGTTAGGCATTACTGAGATCCTCAGCACCCTGATGCTGGACTCTGAAAGTGCCTAACTTCCCTGCTGATGGGCATGTGCAAAGCTGCCAAAGTCCTCACAATGCTGAGCAGTTTGGAATCCTACTGCAGAGCTACGCCCTGGTGAGATTCTCAAATGAGGCATTCCATTGGCTACCTGAGAGCATGCCTTTGGATTAAGCTGTGAGCAAAAAAACACCCAGTATGACCAGATCAGACTTTTTGGAGGACATGCATGTCCTTGCAATAGCCCAGTGATTAGTGCACTCACTACTCATCAAAGGTTTTCAAATCCTCACTCTGGCTGAGTTGGAGCAAGGACTTGAAACCATGTGAGTGCCCCCAGCCCTTGTTGTGTCTCTCGATCTTTCCTGTGAAGCTGTTCTGCTTTTTACAATTAAAAAGGTCTGGGAGTACCAATTGGAATTTGGGTCACCCACAACTCCCCAGAATTGTGTGGCAAGACTGGGGTGCCAGAACAATTTGCATAGCAGGAGTATTGAAAGCCATTGAACCAGACTGTACAACCAGTACCTGATGGAAGCCCCTTAAAACCAGCATGTCCGCCAACATGCCCTGCACCTCTAGATCTTTTTCAAATGTTTGCTCATATCTGTTCTAATTATGTGTGCACATGCTGTGTGCAGGGCTGTCAGAAAGTTTTAGCTTATCTCTCAGGTTGGCTATGGAGCCCCCTGGAGTGGTTCTGGTGGAGCACGCTACAACCTTGCTGACCCAACCACCTCTCAGTTCTTTTTTACCACCAACGATGACCATTGGAACTGAGGCCACATATCCCTAGTGTTTACAGTTCATTTGTTTTTTATTAGCTGTAGGTAGCAGTTAGCTAGTAATTTTAGAGCAGTGGGAAGTGAAGGGATTTTCCCTTCCTCCCCATGTCCCTTCAAACCTTGCAGGTCCTGCTTAAAATCTCCTCTCCCTTCCTCCCTGCCCCTCCCCCCCACCTTGTGGCGTATGGCGCCAGTGCCTGGCAGAATCTCATCAGGCAGACAGATGCAAGATCTGTATGATCTTCAAACCAGGTACCAGAAAGAAGCGGGACTTTTCTTTCAAACAGCTTCTCATGGAATCCAGCTTTGAGGCTGCTTTGGGATCTCATTGAAATGACTCAGTCCCCTACCAGGGACAAGCTTTCCCTTCTCCGTGCCAGGAGATCTCCTGGGAAAAGTCGGCCATGCTGTGGCCTGCTTTCCACCACTGGGAACTGCTCATGATCTGAGCCAGCTTTTGGCCACCTCCTTCGTCCTCCATGTATGAAGAAGTTGTGGGTTCCTCCATCCACAGGCCCACCACTCTGGGACCACAGAGAGTTGCAGGGTCTTCTGCACAAGGTGGTCATTAGCCTCAACCTGCAGGTAAAGGAGGTGGTTTAGCAGGATGGACCCTGTGATATGATCAAGCCTTCTCACAGAAGGTATCTGTTTTCTGTTGGAGGAGACTCACTTCCAGTTTACAGCCCTACCATTTGGACTGCAAGTGTGTACCAAATATATGGCAGTGATGGCAGCCTTCCTCTGGTGTCACTGAGTCCAGGTCTACCCTTACCTGGACAATTGGTTCTTATAGAACCATTCCTACCAGCAGGTGGAAACTCTGGTGGGTCTTACCCAGCCGGCATTTGCAAGGCTAGGCTTCCTGCTCAACCCCAGTAAGTCGACCCTCATACCCACACAAAGGATCAAGGTCACACTGGGGCAGTTCCAGATGCCACCAAGACTCAGACATTTCTGCCAGAGCAGTTCTTTGCCACATTGACTCAGCTGTTGCAATCTCTTGCCAATTTCCCTGTGACCACGGCCAGGGCATGCGTCAGGCTCCTGAGCCACATGGCAGCTTGTACGTACATTGTCTCACTTGCCTAGCTTCACCTTCAGGCCCTATTGTCTTGGTTTGCATTGCTATTGTGGCCTGGGTGATTCACCATTGACATAACAGTGACAGTCCCCTGCCAAGTGAACCACGTGCTCTGGTAGTGGCAGGACCCACTGTCAAGAGTGGTCGGAGTCCCATTTCACACTTCACAGTCTGCAAAGCAGTGCTTGAAGCCTGAAGTAGGACTTTGTGGCTCTTGTCACAGACACTTCCACTGTGGGCTAGAGGCACTCACCTTGGAGATCTTGCTACTCAGGTGATGTGGATGGCAAAGGAGCTGTCTCTTCACATAAATGTTCAGAAACTCTGCACCTCTCATATTTAGTGTTTCTGCCTCATCTTCAAGGGCAGCATGTGGCGATTATGATGGACAATACAACCACCATGTAGTATATCAAAGAACAAAGTGGAGCCTGTTCATCCTGCCTTTCTCTAGAAGCCCTCCAATTATGGGAGTTTTGCATAGCACTACCTGGAGGCATCATACCCCCAGGGGTTCAGAACCACTTGTGGACTGTCTCAGCTGGCATTTCTTTGCCCACAAATGGTCAATCTGGCCGGATGTCATCCACTCTGTTTTCCAGAAGTACGGGTTTTTCCAGTTAGACCTCTTTGCTACCTGAGTCAACTGGGAGTGTCCATGCTTCTGCTTCTTCTGGAATCTCAGTTCAGGGTCTTTAGAGGGTGCATTCCTGATCCCACCGGTCTGCTCTGTGTGTTCCCACTGATTCACAAAGTGCTCCCCCAAACTGCTCAGGGACAGAGCGAACAATATCTTGGTGGCCCTGATCTGGGCCCATCAGCACTGGTACCCCCACCCTGCTAGAGCTCTTGGTACCACTGCCCATTCCACGACTACTCCTTCCAGTCCTCATCACACATGGATGCTTAACCAAAGAGGTTAACATAAAATTTCCCTTTCCATCCCTGTGGCCAAATTGCTGGGCTACATCTTGGTTTCTTCTCCCTTCTGTTGCTGCCTTCTCAACCACTCTGACCTGCTGCTACCTCACCTCTCCAATCTACTCAACTGCTGCCAGTAACATTGTCTTCATTCTCTTAACCCTTTC